GGGGGGGGGGGTCTTTGCTTCACAAAGAGCATGGGTGCAAATAGAGTCCGAGCTGTGCTCTCTTTCCTCACTGCTGCCTCGCTGGATCCTTGTCCAGAGCTTCATTGTAGGGCAGAGAAAACAAATCTCTTATATTTTACACTGGCTCAGAAGTATTTTGGAACAAATTCTTACCCTATTAATGTCCTTTTATTCTAAAGGAATTTAAAATAGTACATATTGTGCTCCTCCACATAGACTTCAGTTAAAAAAAATCATCCATCTTTACATATACTTTTTATATTTAATTTTGGAAAAAACGTATGTGCACCTAAATTGGAACACAATTTTGTTTTCGTTTGCAGTCCAAATTAAACAGTTGTGGGTTTAAGTGTCTTCTGCCAAGGAGACAAAACAAGGAGTGAAGACAAATGGTGTTGGAGTTCTGGTGGTTTCTGAGGGAACTCTGCAGAGTTGCCAAAGTCGACAGAGGAACGGAGCACAGCCTTTTGATGCATCAGTGCACTACTGAAGTTCTATGCAATTTAGCTGGCCTTATTTTTGGACTGGCTTTCACCCTTCCTTGTTTCTTCAAACCAATACGATTAGCCTTTTCAGCAAAGCAGGTGTTTTCTATGTATCATTTTGAGAACTCTTGTGTGTGTGTTTGAGCGTGAAATAATCTTAGTATGGGACGTTTTTTTCTTTCATGGACATCAACAGTAAAAACTGGAACAGTGCCCCCTCAACAAGGGACGTATATCTTCATTTATTACTTTAGTAGTCAGCGTCTGCCTGATGCTACTTGCTACTGAAACAGGCAGTGCATTGTTCTGAGTCTGATGTACTTTACTGAGGAAACATCGTTCTCGTCTTGTGCAGATTATTTTGTGCACATCTATGACATGTGATTTAAAAAAAAAAAAGCTAAAATCCAGTATTTTTCTGAAAGAAATCAAAGTAAAGATATCAAAGCCAAACAATGCCCTCCAACGTCTTAAGAAAAACCAAAGGACGCATTTTGAAAAGTTTCCCTTTCACATCTTCATGGATGACATCTTTTTATTTTAATGTGTGGTTATTATGAGCTGTCACCTGCTGTCCTGCAAGGGACTCTGTTCCAGATGGGTTGCACACAGTTGCACATCCTGCTTTGTCTCTTCTGAATGGGGGCTTGAAGTGTCAGACTGTACACAGAGGGCTGTAGGCATGTGATCGTATACCCCAGAGGCCTTTTAGTTCACGTTAAGTCTCTTTGCAACTGATTGAGATGTCTCACAATTTCGCTTTTCAGTGCTCTCACTGGATTAGCGTGGAAAGTGACCGACGCATGGGGGCAGAGGTGATCTTTTTATCACCTCTTTGTATTATAATGTATGTATGGTTTGCTGGATCAACGATGAATTAAGTGCTACTTCTATCTTGGACGTTTTATGGAAGCAGAATGTTAAAATCAGGCCTTTTGTTATTTCAGCATGTTTGTGTGGAGAAAGTAGCTATCCGTCTTTCTTTTATGACATTTTTTTTTTTTAACTAAATAGCTGCAATGCAGACTGTGAGTCAATCCTAATCATTAATTAATTGTGTTTGTGGCATAAAATGTATTTTCCACTGTTTTGTAATCATTCTATGTTAATCAAAAAATGTCTTATTGTCGCCATATTCTGCTTTTATTAATTTTTTGCAGGACTATTAAACTTGTTCCAGACGTTATGGTCACTTGCAGACCATATCAGATCACGTGTAATAAAAATAAGGATGAGGAGCCTTTTTACTTACAGACATCCTCCATATCATTTTATGTTTGAGTTGATGTAAAACCAGCCTGATAAGTAACAAAGAGACATTCTTTTATTGGGACTGTGCTTTGTATCGACATCCAACGCTTTATTTATTAATTGAACGGTTGTAACGTCCACAAGCCTAAAAACACAGTGTGCTCCCTGTAGCCTACACCACACCACCATCACACCAACCAGCCAACCAAAGCAAAGTGTACAGTAACATGACAAAGATGGACATCAAGCTATGAATTCTACTAACTCTGGTAGTGTTAGTGCATGCCCACCACCACCACCAATACGCGTTTAGTTTGCAGACATTTACCGGATTTTTCAAAATTCTTGCAAACTACGAGACATTACATGAAGTGTATGTTGGAGTGGGTGAAATTCAAACGACATCCAGTTGGTTAAACTGTAGCAGCCGTCTCTAATGAATGTAGTTCGATTGGAGGCATCCTCTAAAGAGCTTACAGATAAAAGCCGAGCAAAAAAATGTAGCTGTTTAAATCCAGGGATATATGGTGTGCTGTTATTGGAGACCTTGGTATATTTTGCTTTAATAAACGGGTTCTTACATGACCAACTTACAGTATGTGTGACCTAGATGTATGTAAATTAGGTCCAGGTGGATGTGAATGTTTCATACTAAAAAGGGTTTTATAGGATTGTTTTTTATCAGTGTGGCAACGGGATTAAACGGTTGTCTTAACTGTTGTGTCAACATACAGTTTTAGGTGTTCATAGACATACCTCTTTGCTGTTGTCATTATTTCTTGAACATGACGGGGATAAACGGTGCAGCAATACTTGTGGCCATATTTCGGTGAAATCCACTGTATTGGATTCTGGTGTTTGAGTTTCCTTTGCATCACAGGAAGCGTCCTGTTGGGTTCATTTTAAGTGTCTGCTTTTATTGAATTACTTTTCTCTTAGATGTTATTATTTTTGAACTATTGATACAATGTATTTACGTGGGTCTGGGGAAGATTGTTTCAAAATGATGAATGTACTCGAATGATATTGGGGGGGAACTTCAATAAAATGGTGGATTAGATAGAAACCAACACTAATTTGTTTTTTTTTTCCACTCAATAAAAACTCAAAAAAAATCAACTGCTTTCACACCTAAATCTGACCTTTTTACTTTCACTTGGAAATCAAGAAGATTTTGATAGATTGTGAAAAATGCAACAACTTGGTTGCAGTAATATTTATGATATTTAGAGTAGATGCACGTTTTGTTACTCTTAGAGCAAAAACTTTGTTTTTCTCCCAGCCGACATGTTAACTGGAGAAGATGCACGTGTTACAAACAGGATCGAAGGCTCTGATCTATTCAAGTGTCCCAGTGAGCGACAGTGAGCCAACAAGTACAATAACACTGAAATCAAAGAAGCTGAATGGAATCGAGCCATCATCTATTTTATTATTTACACCGGTGTTTTTCTTACTATGACAAGTGCATATGTCTGCTGAGAAAAAGGCTTATTTAGTATATTTTGACGCAGGTTTTATTTCATCTGCGACATCTAGAGATCCTCCTCTCACAGATTTCATACAAGGCTCAAGTGTCATTTTTCTTTTAACCATTCAAAAGCAATTTGTTCAAATATGCGATGAAACACAATACATAAAAAAACAGGATATTTATTTCATAATGTAAAGCAAGTTTTTAAATGAGACAAACATTTTATGCAATTTAAAGAAAGTAAACAAAACTAATTAAAAAACACATTTTCATTCTGAACACATTAAAAGATTCTGTTCCCAAACAGAGGTGTATAGAGAATGGCACAAACGATTAAGAGTTAAACCCTCTGGTTTAATGTTTCTGATTTCATCTCTTCCAAGTGAGTCAGGAGGAGCAGCAATAAAGGAAAGGGACACAATATTATTTCATGCTGAAAGAATCCAATATGAGCTAACCAGCTCACACGAGTTAGGCAGTACAATTGATGTTTGCCCCTAATGTCCTCCTTCCTCCCTTTCATTTTCATCCCTCTACCTCGAGGAACACGATTCTTTTGGCCACGTCCTCCTCGCTGTATTTCTCCTGCAGCTGCTGTCGGACCATGGGATCAGCTGAGAGCAGAAGACCATCGTCGCAGCGATTCCAAACTGGTCCTGAAATGGACGAGGGATTCAACAGACGATGGAGAGCAGCAGAGAAGTCTCCGCTGGTCTTCAGCAGGGCTTTGGTCACACTGACTAAGTCCTGAAACAAAGATAGTTTGGGGGAGATTAGACACACCAAACAGAATACAACCAAGAATAAAAAGCATCTCTCGGGTGCATCTGCTGCACCACAGTCCTCACCTGGTTAGTCTGGTTCATCAGCTCTTTGATTCGCTGCTTGTCCTCTTCCAACTGGACCTGGGTCAGTGACAGTGCGGCGCCTTTGTTCACTGTTGGCTGTGGTTTGGACGGAGCTGCGGGATTATCACCAATGATGGACTCGGAGTCCTCCTGAGATTCATGGTCAAATATGAACAGGTGGACCGTGGAGGCCGCAGGTTCAGGGCAGCCTGTCTTTGGTGGGCGGCTGCTGGTGGAGGCCTCGGCCTCTTGCGTGTCCTCCTGGAGGCTGGGTCCATGTTCAGGGTTGGACGGCGTGGAAACAACATCTGCAGCTGTGTCTGAAGTTGGGAGTGGAGGCTCTGTTGATGTGGGTTGTATCGTGGCCGTTGGGAGATCTGGACCTCCATCTTCATCAGACTTAGAGATGGGAACGTAAAAGTTTAAATAATTAAAATAACTTTTTTTTGTTAAGTGATGAAGCAAAAGATAATAGCTACTAGAGCTGAAATCATTTGTTGATGCATCTGAAACCTTTTGACAAGCTATTATATATTCATTTAACATGTTCTCTGTTGTCTCACCTCACTTCCATCTTCAAACTCCTTTGAAGCCATCTCTAGAATCCCCAACTTTCTCTTTTCTTTCTTCTTCTCTCCTTTCTGTGGCTCTGAATTAGACTCAGGACCTGCAAAACAGTGATGGAGGTAGAAAGAGGAGAAGAGAGATGGTTTAACATTTAACTCAAGTCTGATGCATTAAAGCTCTTAAACATATTAATGTGTTTTGTGCCCCGCTCTGATGTCGGTATAACAAACCTGCTTGTGCTGTTTCAGGGACGGCAGCTTGTTCCATCTCCTGCTGTTGACTTTCTGCCACACTCTCTCCTCTGGCTCTCTTAGCAGGCGGCTGGTCTACTGTTGTGTCCCTTTGAAGAGCGGACTTAGCGTCTGATTTAGTTTTCTTTGCGGGCTGAGGAGATGATGATGGTGTTCGCCCTGGAGAAGTTGTTGATGATCTGAGTTTTTTGCCATACGGTTCAGGCAATGAAGACATCTCGACCACAAGCTGCCTCCGCGTTACTCGACGCTGTGGTTGTTCCAGCTTGGGGGAGTCTTTCTGCTTCTCTTTGGCCTTTTTCTGAGATGAGGTGTCAGGCTCAGCTGGAGGAGAATCCTTTGGCACACTTGAAATGATTGTTTGTGGTTCTTCCGTTTCTGGTTCTGCACTCTCAGCTGAAACGGGTTGGGCATCTGTCTGTGGGTCCAAACAAGGTCCCTCGGGTTGGGGGGAGTAAGATGTTTCAGCTTCTACAGTCTCGACCTGTGTGCTTTCAGCTGGTTGTTTATCTGTCTGTGGGTCCACGTGTTGCACTTCCTCTTGGGGAGGGATGGGTGTTTGAGCGTCTACAATTTCTGTTTCTGTGCTTTCGGGTGGTATGGACTGGACACCTATCTGTGGAGACACCAACTCTGTCGTGTTCAGTTCTGCTCCTTTGAATAGATTATTAAATCACATGCAAACTTACAGTTACTTTCACAGTGGTGAATGTTGCAGGCAGTGAGTTCTGGTTGCTACCTGTGTGAGGTCTGTTTCTGTCGAGTGTGTCTGAGGAGAAGCCGAATCTTCTGCAATGGAGGTTGTTTGAACATCCGTCTCTTGGTTTCCTTCTACCTAGGAGCAGACAGAGGAGAAACTTCAGGCTTCATGTCTTTAGAAGATGCAACGATGAGTAGTCTGGAAGTATTCTAAAGATGAATTTGTATTTCGATAGAAAGTGTGTGAATGAAGTCTGTTGGATTATACTGTATGTGTTAACATGATTATCATCTTATGTAGGAAAATGAAAGCAACAAATTAATTTATTTTGTTTGGTGCCACCCAGTGGCAGTATCAAAAAATACACTCGATTGACATGACATTGCAATACTAATACTATCTTGATTTACTTTTTACTGTATACATTTTTTAATATGTCGAGAGCAAACATCTGAAACACAACCTGGATAACCTGCATAAGGTGGCATGTCTAGTGAACGCTAAGTTACATAAAGTCACTGCTAATAACGCCATTGTTTCCCTTGTATTACTTGGACATACTGATCGTTGGTTACCTGTGAAAACTTGCACTAAAAAGGTGTCTCATATTTTGTAAACAGGCATTTACAAACATCACGAGGACATAATATAATAAAATAAATATGTTAAATAAATAAATAAATAAATAAACACCTCTCCTGCCAACAAAAACCTGACTATCATAAACTTCACAAATGTTGGATTATTGCAGGATTGTGGTTTGGAATTAGTTGAAGGAGATTGTTCTACAGTCTCACTATAACCTGTGCCTTTCAACAGAGAAATATATGACAAAGTAAGTTACCTTGTTCTCACCCTCTGATGCCTCGGTGTCTTCCTCTGTTGTTGCCACTTCCACAACCTCTGACTGTCTCTCTGCCAGTTGCACTCTGTAGCGGTATTTCATCGACTGCCAGCTGTGACTGGTCACACGCTGCTTCTCCATCTCTTGCCAAAGACGGTTTCCCCCAACCCGTTTCTTGTGATCGCTGACATAAGTCAAAATGGCAGCATCATCTTCAGCGGTGTAGGCAACCCTGCCTAATCACAATGAAAGAAAGTATAGACATCAGTAGATTTAAACAGGGGGACATTGATTCCCAATTTAATAATACATTGTACAGCTAATTTATGATTAATTAAAGGTAGGTCTTTGCATCATACCTCCTAAGAGTCCAGTTGAGATATCTGTGTTATTCTTGAGTTTCGGTACCACTTCAGAATTTAACCTGTAGTCCTCTAAATTCAGCTGTTCATCCTTCTCAATAGAGTCAAGAATGTACTGGGTGGACACAAACCTGAGAAAACAGCTGATTCATTACCGTGCTCTGAATATTCTTCATTTTGCTCAATTTAATTATCTAGCTGATCACATACAATCTACACGGCAATGTTTCAGCACACTATGCCAACAACTTAAAAATGCTTCATCATTAAACCGGAGGGAAAAAACGTAATATAGTAAAACATGTTAATATACATGACATGTAATTAAAGCTCCCCCTAACAGAGCAAAATGCTGTTTAACTGTCTAATAAAGGTAGGCCTTATTCTAATGAGCCATAGAGGACAGGCAGCAGCTACTGTATGAGACAGACTGTGCAAAGCTACGGTGTGACTTATTTACCGCCATTAAATGTAATAATTGAGTTATATATGTGAATGTGCCGAGCAGACTAAATGTCAAAATATGACGGATACATTGGCTGAATAGAACCACCAAAGCAACACAGACGTTTTGCATGGTTTCATTTGAATAGGCTAGACAGCATTTCCCCCCGACATGCACACTTTCTAATGGCGTCCCGGTCCAGTAATTACCAGTGAGCACTAGTTTCAGGAATAGAGCCTCTTTCCTCTGGTTCCATCAGCAGGATTGCCCCCGGCTTCTGCACATTGCACAACACCCCCGCCCCAGCTGTGATGAGCGGCTGGAGCTTGTTTTTGACAGGACCCGGTCGCAGGAAGAAAGACATGGGTTCACCGTCCACGGTCATGAACAGAACCGGGGAGATGTCAGGTTTGACCACATCCTGCTGTTTGGACGTCATGTTTCAACGTGTCTCACCAGGTGGAAGAGAGGGAATTATAGAGAAGACCTCATCAAATCTTAAAGTTGCTGTTATGTTATAATGTAACTAACGTTATGAGCACAAACATTTAAGTACCATCAGAACCTGTAAATCAAGCAAAATGAACCTTGCATATGGCATAAAATATAACATCCCATGCTGTAGTTCTAGTTCTGACAAGAGCTGTTTTATTCTGTAGGCTATATGGCTAAATTTACAGCTAAACGTAATGCAGTCTAATGCAACAGCACTGCACCCATGAAGGCTATGAAGGTCAGTTTTAAACTGGCCATTTTGGAGGATGAAGTTTGTGTTTTGAATGTCATTACATGATACACAATTGTGCTAACGATCACTAATAAACCGAAAACGTATTGGTGAACATTGTCAACACGATCGAGAGCCACACATATATAATAACCCGATTTAAAATGACATAATTAGACGTTGAAAGTAGCCAACTGTCGTCTCCAGCTAACGCTACGTTTTCCTTGACGACTCTCCTATTGAGGAAAGGCTTCCGTTGATTACTGTGGCTAAGTCCGGTTAGCAAGATTAGCATTAACGTAGCCCGTTTAAGTTTGGAGAGAGTTGCAGCCTAATTATGCCATTATGTGATTAACGTTGCATACAACGTAACCACTGCTTACAGTAGATATTTAACTTTAAACTCACCATGTAGCGTTCATGGATGTACAAATAATCGCGTTGGTTTGTTTACGTCCTCAGTGGTCTCGCCCGCGAGTTTCCGCCGCGACAAATATACGAAACACAGCCTACTTCCGGGTTTTCTTCTTCGCCGGTGGAGTGCACGCAGTTAGTGTCGCATTAACGCCCCCACTGTTTATATCCACAATCTACCAATTCTATTAAAAACATACAATGCATTCCTCAACAATTACTACATTGCTAGATGCAGAGGCACAGTTTCCTTTATTATCCCGTTGCTTTTCAAACTTAGACATATTTGATATTTCTGTGAAGCCATTTTTACCCTATTTGTTTAAGTCTGTCTGGTAAAGATATGGATACACAGGTCAGCACTTCACAGGGACCCTGCAATAGCTCTAGAGCACTAAATGTATAGAAAGTTAGGGTGAAAGAGATGCGTGGTTTCAGAATTCCTGAACAGAAAACGTGCACATACCCTCCCGAAAGGGAGGAGAGGAACCAGAGATTAAAAAATATGTATAAAGTAATCATTTTAAATCAAAGTTTAGGCTCTAATATGGTGCGAAAGGGCCATTTTCACTGCTGACATTTTGACTTGTCATAGTATAGGACTAATACTATATTAACATTAATGGTGGCCATGTTCTATTTTATTGCCCTTCACAATGAGCCAGCATGCACAATACCTGGACCATGAATTCAGCTAACATTGATTTTATTTTTTTCACTTGTGCTTTTTCTTCTGTAACATATCAAAATCTCTTCTGTGAGAATGGCGTATTGCTTTGAATGATTGATCTGAAATGCTGAAGCTGGCTTTTCCTCTAAATTGCTATACCTCCTCTGGGCTGCAGAACTTTCCATATATCAAAGTCTTGGACTTTTAAATAGATGTGTGTTATTGGATGGCCTTCCTCTTTTGGAAAAGTATTTGTCAAATTAATTGCTAAAATGTGGCTTAAAACTGGTCTGAAAATATTAGAATTTGTTTTCCTATTCAGAACACAATGTGTAACTTCACTAAGCTAAAGGTTAAAGCTAAAAGTAAGCTAAAAGTTGAGTTGCTGTACAGGGTCAGGACCACACAAAGTCAGAGTGATGTTATGTTCAGAGATCAGTGGACTGCCAACAACCCAACTGAGCTGGGAGCTTCCTTCAGGAGAGAAAAATGATGTCTCCAGAATCAAACACATAAACACTCACAGTCCAATGGGAGATATTATTCCTGTTCAGTTGATTGTCCCCCTGAGGCAGCTGTGTGTGGAAGGCATGATGGATGACTGCTGTGCTGATTTCAGCACCTCACTATGAAAACCATAGCGGTCAGAGAAAATTAGACCTGATGTCCTAATCAACAAAAAAGTGACATGCACACATATTCTGTGTTGTTTTTGGATGTTCTGAAGCTTTCTCATACACAAGCAACACTGATTGATGGGCATGGTTAACCAAAACACTGATTCTCAAAGACTGGAAAGCAATAACTCCATTTTGTTGCACAAAGTATTCACATGCAGAAAACAAAGAAAAGACAACATTTTGGACATTTGCAGCAAAGTGAATATTGTTAAGTTTCCTTGATACTACTTTGTTTTAAAGGAACTATAAAGGCACGGTGTTGTAAATATTTTCTGTTAAAAAAATTAAAAAAATAACATTTTGTTTGGTTTTGTGGTTGTTTTGGTATCTGCCTAAGGGTTCTCAATATGATATTCAGAGCATCAATATAGCAGCAAACAACTATTATGTAAAGATATAGTGGAGAAATACCTACCTGGGCAGAGATTGAAGTGTCTGTCCCTCAGTGTTTTTTTATCAGAGCTTGTCTGTGCTTTGTTAACATAGCTGGACCGTCAAGTGCCTTTTAATGCATGTTAGTGCACTTAAATGTGCCCTGCGGATTAGCTCACCGCTGCTGCTCCTGCACTCATAATGCAGCTGCAGCTGGGATACCGCCACCATGTTGAGAGCCGTGTGGAGGCTTCAAATTTAGCACCTTTACATTTTTTTTGTTTTTTTATTTGTCTGTAAACTAAAAGAGCTTCTGGTATTTTCATGGATAATTCTGATTTGATCCGGCGTTTATCCAAATCTCTCTGAAAGGCCAAAAGCGAATCAACATTTCCTAACACAATTACTCACTTTGAGGAACCCAGAGTCCAGGTCTAACTTATTTTTCGTTCCGCTCAGGAACAAAGGAAGGAATTGGGCTGGCCTGTGTACTGTATCACTTCACCGACCTTGCCTCCCTCACAGTCCTGACAGCTACATTATTGTTATTGGCCTCTGTTGTTCCTCTCTCTTTCTTCGACTCAACCAGCTGAAACAATACAACAGCCACCAAGGTGCTGCAACTCCTCCAAGCCAATGTATGTTTGTGGACAATCTGTAAATATTGATGTGTAAATATTCACTCCTGCAAGCTGATTGTGATCCATCCTCAACCTGAACCTCTGCCTTTAAACAATCAACTCCTCAACCGTCATCACACCTCAGGACTGTGTTTCATATCAGTTCATCTCTGACAGAGGATGTGAGACAAGGTCACCACAGCGTAACACAGTGTGGTTTGGTTTGGCTCAGGCAGAGGAAAATGTCCCTGCTGTGAGGTTCTGTAGTTGTGTCCCTCCTGTAGAGGGAGATGTTATACCACTTTACAAACCACCAGGGCTGTCTATCAAACAAAGTATTACTGAGTCCAGAATAAGGGATCGATTCTTTTACTCTATCCCAAATAAAGTGAATTGTAATCTGATCTGATAAACAGTGTGCAGTCAAGTGTGTCTGTTTGCAGAATGAGCATTTGGAAACAGACTTCATAACTGATGCTTTTGGAGTCAGATCAAGACTCCAGTTGCAGTGTGTTTTCAGCCTTGTGTCTGGCACGTTGTGATCCTCCCTTTCAATGTGCTGCTTTGGTGAAACCAGGCTAAAGAGACCCGGTTCACTCTGAACCACTGGAAGGCTTCAGTTTCATTATAGCCATTTAGAGCAGTGATTGCTACTGACGATAACTAGACAAACTAAAAGAAAAAGAAACAAAATAGATTATGCTCTGTCCCTCTTTACTCTAGATCTTGAGAGTGAACTAGTGAATCTTTAGTCAACGTTTACCCGTCTTGTCAGCTACTGCTACACTCTTCCTGAAGAAACACATTTTAGCCATTCTTCCCAGATTTAAACTTTGAATCCATTCAATTTCTGCATATTTTGGAAAGTACATAAGACCAGAAAGGGTGTAAGACTCCTCCAGAGAGTGACAGACAGGAATTAATCCGAGCACAAAAATAGGCTATACCAGTTAGAGCTGAGTTTGTCGGAAAAAATGCATGACACTTTGATGAACAGAGATAGATATAATCTTGTGCAGGCAGCATTTTTCATTTTCTTTTCAAGAGTTAGATCTGAAGATTGATGCAACTCTCACATTTGTCTTATAATATGAGTCTGGAGACAGTAGACGGTTAGCTTAGCATAAAGACTGGAAACAGGGAGAAACAGCTAACTTTGTTCTGTCCCAAAGCGAAAATCTGCATCTCTTAAAGCTCACTAAGTAACATGTTTCATCTGTTTATGTTAACAAAAACCAAAGGGTGTAGGTGGGTTTTGTTACCTTATGAAATGACTGATATACAGTTGGATGTTTTAAAATAGAAACCGTTTGTTCGGGGTCTTTTAATGATCTTTTCAATATTTGCAGAACTGTAATTCTCACCCATAAAACAAGCTACATGACACCCTCCCTGCAGGAGCCACAGTGAAACCAGATTTTACTGCACTTGTGTCGTACACAATGACATGACATGTCATCTCTTTTAACCCTCCTTTACTGTCACCTGATTGTTACAGACATAATGATGTGTTCAAATGTTGTAGTCTCAGCAGGCGCGTCTGTTCACATGAAGAGTTACTGAGAGACTAAAAATTAAAAAACGCTTTCCCTTGACAGAGCAAATCAGGAATGATGTGCAGCACGTTCACCAGCAATGGCCTCATTTGAGTCATACAACAGAAGAGCTTGAACCCGGTCACACTGCAACACGTGTCACTAACTATTCCATTCAAGTGTCAATTAATGATGCAACTGAACGAGTGAATCACTTGGAAAAAATCCACCTGACAAAGATAACGTGACCCATCGTGAGCTCTGCCAATTACACACAATGTCTGAAAAATGTTGGTGGGTGGAAGAAACGCAGTGATGTCACAAGACGTAACAATATTATTCCTACAGTGTACAGAGGAAAATGTTTGTCAGTTTTACGCCTACTCAGATATGTTGCGTTCGATTGAATCACCCATGAATCCATTCCAGTGAATTGGCATTGTTATATAATCTTGATTAAAAGTACAAATATTTAAAATGTAGTTTTGATTGAATACTTAAAGAGGAGGTGTGTAAAATGTGGTGAATTGATGCAAGCTTTGCATAGAGCTCTACTTACGTGTTGAAATTGTAAAATTCACACTTCCTGTATCCTACGTATTTATGAAAATGTACTTTATACCATAGGCATTATTATTATTGTAGGGTTAGAGAAAGAAAGAAGACTCTTTCACCTCATTGAAATGCTGAAAATCTGGTGCATCAAGCCACACTCACTCCTTGGAACTTCTGCTTTATAGTTTTACAAACGTAACAAGAATCCCAGAATGAGTCTAAAATGTTTCCTTCTAGACTTCACAAGAACATAAAGTGCCATGGTATAAATTCTTGAGGTGTTTTCTATATAAACACCCGATTAAACACAACTATTTCCTGAGAGCTATATTCGTCTTACAGCGGCAGGTGTATCACTTCAGAAACAAGGCTTGTTCAAGGACCCACACACACACACGTATCAGGTATCACACCCTGGTGGGAGTAAGATTCCTTTCTGATACTAAAACAAAAGAACCTTCAAAAGCGAAGCTGCTGTTTCTTAAGGAGCTCAAACAAAAACATAACTTCCTTGTGTAAATCACAGTCGCTATCTTTGGACTTGGCTCTGTGCGGACGGACAACTGCAGAAATATACTTTATGAAAATTACTTGGCAGATTAGCTCAGGAATCTTGGCAGGGCTTGGTCTGCAGAGACCGGCCGTAACAAAGTGAGGATATGCTGACTCGACATAAAGAACACATTTAATTACCATCATCATCAACCATCCAAGGGGACCATCCGGGTCAGAGCCAGAAATCCCCCCCCATCATCTGCCAACTCAAAGACTTATTTTTAGGGGCCATCTTCTCCTTAATCTGCTTCAGTCTCACGGCCTGGCTCCCTCCGTGTCTCATCATTTCTCTTTTCTTACAGCTCACACATATTCCTGTTATTCCTCATCAGATCTTATAGTTACCATTCTTTTTGTTTGTCCTTACAACCTGAGAAATAGACCCCATCAGATACATGAAAAGAGAGAAAGACAAGGAGTCCCATTACACCTCCTTGCTGCCCTGAGACGACTCTTACACGCTCCCATTTCAAGACAGATATCAGATCACATGTTTCACATTAATCGAATGAGGATCAAAAGTAAGTCCCCTGTAAGTCTAAGCACAAATCTGAAGAAATGTTCAAAATCGGTCCAAGCGTTGAACAGGCTGAAGTTTTATTTTATCATAATGTATCTTGTCTGTCTTTGGGTACATGGGACTACTGCTTTTTTAGTAGTAGAAAATGGCCTAAAATAAGAAATAGAAATGTAGGAATTTTCATTGGGGATTGTTATTGATAAAAGTGTGATTTTCTTCATGCGATTTTAAAATTTGTGTGGTTCAATGCTCGCTCAAAGTATGTCCGCACTGGATTTTAAGACTTTAGACCAATTCAGAACAAATGTTGACACATATTTCCTCATCATACTAAATATAGTCCTTTGGCCACAAATGGACGACCTGATGTATGTATGATTTAATATAGAAGGAACACTGATGATTTAAAGTGGCTATAATCAATATTGCTTGTTTTAACAATGTGACAAATGATGACATGTACTGTGAAAAGCTCCAGCTGACTCTTCAGTTCTCCTATGTGGAGCGCTTTAGTGTCTATCAGCTTGTTGTTTTGTGGCCCCAACTTCAACTGGGTTGGTTCACTGTCACTGCTCTTATTGTGTCGTTTTCATCAACAACAGGCAGCTGCTTTTATTGCATAATCAGCTATGGCAAGTTTAAAGAAATATTTAATATATATATATATATATATATAAGTTCTGTATGTGTTGTTTAGAGCCAACATTAAGAAACCAACAAGCTTGGTCCTTTCTTAAACTAAGGATTGCATTTCTTAGACAAAGGCAGAGGGCAGAACATGTGAGGCTCATCTCTGTTTCAGGACCAAAAGCAGAAGCTTTCTTGAAGCTTAACAGAACGAGAAACCACAAAATTAAGGTCCATAAGATATATTTGAACATAAAGAAACAAACAAACAAGGGACCATACGTTGCAACAGTTCTACAGATCTGATATTTCTTTGATTGACACATATTCAGAACATCACAATCTTACTAACCCCTTTTTAAATCAGGTTTACAGTGAATCATATACAGTTTATGCACATATTATCTAGGTGTTTTCAATGTGTCTTGAAAGTTTTACTTACTAATAATCTAATTTACATTGATAATAACATTTTTAGAGCTTGATTGTAATGGTGGACTTTATAGAGCGTATATTTCTTATATTAAGGCAAGCATCTACTGTGAGTTTGTGTACTCAAAAGACTTGTAACTTGGCAAACAGCCAGACATCAGGAAGGCTTTGTGTCAATGAACCTGTGTTTTGGTGACCTGATGTCTCAGTGAGCTACATTGTGATGTCCTGTATTTGACTCTGACTTGTTTGCTTTCTCCTCTATATCCTATTTCTTTTCAGGGTTAACTGTAAATTGATCTGTTAAAAAAAAAAGGAATAAAAAAACTGGTCCTAATTGGAAAACAAACAAACAAACAAACATTAAAGTCTTAAAAAACAAAACCACCTCCCCGCTTGCTAATCAAACGTCTCTCCGTAGACTTTGGTTTTCTGGCACGGTTCAGCGGAGTTCAGATGTTGCAATCGCTCCATCAGGGTGTGTGTGTGTGTGTGTGTGTTTGGTACGAGACACTAAGGACAACTGATGTAATGACTGCAAAACAGATTTATAGAGTCTGGGTGGCTGGAATGCTTTCAAGAAACACATTACTAGGAAATTATTTTTGACGGTACATAGCAAGTCCGCTCGAATGACTTGAAGCAAGACACAGATTTCAAATAAAAAGTTAGAAAATATTTTATTTACAACAACCCCCTCTGGTATTAACCCAACCTCTTTCTCTGTAGACCCCCCCCCCCAACATAACTAAATCACACATAGTAGACAATTTGCATGGATGCAAAATAATTTTATAGCAAAAATTACAACTCAACCACTTTTTAAAAATTTAAAATAAAACAAGGCTGAACAGTGTGTTTGGCAGAGAGTTTCATCCATACAAAAATATGACATATGAATATATGTTATACATTATACATGTGTAATGTATCTTTTTTTAGATGGCATTTATTCCACAGAAAAAAATGAGTCAAACAGCAATCCTTAAAGGCACAATATGGCGTATACGGTTTCACCGTCATGGTAATGTGCTTTATGTTGGCTTCACACTTTCTGCATGTGGCCGTTACGTTACAGGCAATAATCTGATTTCTGTCTTTGGATAAAGCTGATTGAAAAGAGATAGCACCTTCACCCTGATGCCAAAACAGAACATGACATGCACATTGTTTTGTGTGGGCGCGGGTGAGCATTCATGCATTTGTTTTGCGTTCACAGAGGTATTGAAGCACGTACACACTGCTGCTGCCTATGACAGTTGTAACGCAACATTTAGATAAGCTGCACATGAACAACGCATACGCTACTGTGTAACACATGGTGTAAAAATATTCACAGTGGTTTCTCCTGAAGGCACTTGAAGCAGGCTGTGTTGAGCACTCGCCATTTTACACTTTCGGCTTGCCAAAAAAGAAAGTCCCGACTCTTTCAGTTAGTCACAGATGCTCGTCCTGATTGGTGGTAGTTTCGTATTTAAGTTGGCAGCCCACTTATTCACAAAGTGTCCAGGATCAGCACTGGCTAAATGACTGTGCTGCAAGTAATTCACATGCTCCTGTCTAGACAAGATCGAACACTCAGATTCTGCCTTTCAGTCCTCGATTTCTCTTTTCCTGTTCTTCCTCATCTCTTTCTCAATTTCAGTCAGCCTGTCTGGCGACCTCCCTTTATTTCAACACACCAGCAGTGCAAAGTACTTTATCATTAAGATTTCACAAGTCATGGTTTTAATAATACAATCTCTTTATTCTCTCTTTCATTCCACTTTCTCTACTTGTCCTTTTCTCCTACTGAATTCTAATACAAGTCCTTCATGATCTCCTGCAGCAGTGGGTGTAAGCACATGTCCACCTCCGTCTTCTTCAGCAGCTGGATGAGGTGGACGTGGTCGGTAACGATCTGACGCAGGTCGGTCATTTTCTGGAGCAGCTTGGCGAACAGCTGCAGACAGTCCGGGTGGTTTAGCTTAAGTTGCAGCTCAAGCGAATGGAGCACCGTCTCCTGAAGCTGCTCGATGGGCTTCACGTTCAGCAGGCCTGGGCGGTCTGGACAGGGGACAGAGACAGGGAGGATAAATCAGTGACATTTCTGGGGACACATTAAGTATCTATTAGGTCATCATATCTGTTGGCTGAAAAGCTCTTAATTTAGCTGTCCGTGATTACCCGACAAAGCTGTATCATTATTGACAAAAGCCTTCTTATCTTTATTTCAAGCTATAATCTTAGTTGTTTGGGTTAATAATTGACTTAAATGCTTGATGTTTCATCTTCATAAAGGTTAAAGGCCAGAATTTTATCAAGTGTTCACATGGTAACCAGCAATATTGGACCACATAGTCTGGGTTTCTGAGTGAGGTTGGTTTGGTTTGCTGTTACACAGGCATGAAGAGTTACGAGTTTAAACGATTGGTTCCTAAAAAATGACTATCTAATTACTACTACTAATAGAGGAATGGCAGTACAAACACCGTTATCATCATCAATAACAGTAGAAAAACATGAACAAGCAAAGTAAAAACCGTGCTGTTTCTTACTCCCACGTGAAGCCTCCCTGCAAACCGATAAATGGGTCAAGGCTGGCCATAGATAGTGAGTATAATGCAGTGGGTTCTTAGCTTAGATTGGAAACAGCAGACAGATTACAACACTTCACATTCAGAGAGAACTAAATTGTCCTGATGCCACATTGTCTGCCAGAAATGATTTGTGGTTGTAAATTTACATTATTGCTTACAGTTACTTGTTTCAAATAATTATACATATACTCTGCACTGTAAGGCTGAGTTTTTTCTTTAGGCAGTCGCATAAGTTTTCTCCTCAATGGGAACAGTTGTAAAACGACGCTGGCTGGTAGGGACTTTGAAAAGAAATGTCAGTCATTTTGTGAAATACTGTTTGCTCTCGTCAGGAGAAGGTTGATACCACATGTGTCTGTTCAGCATGAAAGATGTAACGTTAAGACAGTATAAAGACTCTAAAGCTAATATGTAACCTAAACTAGCTCTCTCCTGGCTGCAGCTTCATATTAACCGACAGACCGACAAAAATAAAAAACACTCACCCCCGCTGAGGATAATGACAGCCAGAAACAGTGCCATGTCGATGTCGTCCAGCTCCAGCGTGTTGAATTTGACTGAGAACTCAAACTTTGGTTCCATCATTTGACTGAAAGGTTTCCTGAGGCTCTTGAGGAACTCCCGCGTCATGAAGATCTGTCCGTAGGAGATCAGGGTCCCGTCTTTGTTCATCAGAGGCGCCATCATGATGATTAGGACCTCGATCACACCGTACTTCAGCAAAGTCACCTGGTAAAAGAATCGACATGTAGAGCCGATGCCGATTAGATCTTCAGGAACGACAGCTAATACGTGATGCTTTTACTACAGTGATGCATACTCACTGCCTCCGCCTCTCACCTGATCATTGAGATCCAGATCGACGAATCCTGGGATACTCTTGGCGAACTCTGTCACTTCTCTCACTGCTTCGGCCGAACGTGATTGACAGCTGTGGAAGAAACGCAGCTCCAAAGCGTCCGATGGAGCCTGTCCGCTGATGCTCATTCCCATTCCCAAAAAGCCATACTCGGACCCCTGGTGAGCTCCTATGATTCCTGAAATCGGATGAGATGTGCACAGAAAGAATGGAAGTCCCTGATGAGGCGGTTCAGTTGCAGGATTACAAGAAAAACTAGACCAGTGTTTTACGTCTTCAGTGCAAAGAGCAGCCAGAGTTTTGAAGCCAATTCAACAAGGAAGGTGACGACAATTTCATTATCGGGTCATATTGATTGATAAATACACAAAGATAGGAAAGAAGAAGATACAATAACAAACATCTCCACATCATGACAAAGATAATTTTGTATCTCTAACCTCCAAAACCTGCTGTTAGGGCGGATGAGTGCTGCTGTTGCTCCTGGATGGGTATCTGCTTACAATTAATAAACTGCTCTCCTTCCATTAGAGACTTCATGTCATGGATGACAAAAGGCTGCAGGTTGAGAAGAAAGAAATGGAAGAAGAGAGATTTGTAAGAAGAAAAGGGGAAGAGAAAGAAAAAAGAAAGAGTTAGCTTTTCGTAGGTCTTCTGAGGAGCTACAGATGTAATCATTTATCCTGCGTATGCACTTTGGTCATGACTCATTCATCAGACCTGCAAATGCAAACACTGCACATCTCATATGTCTGATGGACAAAGTAAATAAATCTTCGCTGCTGGCTGCGGCAGATAAAAACAACATTAACAGGTAAATGAAGCATAACTAAGTTAAAGTCGCACTTACTGGTAAAACACTGGCAACGACATGCACCGTCCTGAATGATGAATGGTGCCATTCATATACTTAAATCTTCCTTTTCCATAGCAGTGGAATGAATAATAAGACAACCTACAAAGAAGTACAGCCAACAATACTCACAAAACGCTATGAAATGAATAATCATCTCTTATGAGAGTGAATGAAATAGATGTATATACTCTGCCAAGTCAGTTTACTGTAAATGCAGAGTTTGTATGGAGGTTAAGTGGTGTCAATTTTGAAATATAATCATTTAAAACACAGTTCTGAAAGAAGAAATAGCACAAAAGTTTAATTCACAAGCTTTAAAATGCACCTTTGCTCTGTTCAATACACTTTTTGGTGCTACAGACCTAGTCTGTGAACAGTTGTCTAATGTTAGCAAACCATTAGCTAAAGCTAACTTTTGCAAAGAACTAAGTGTTCTCTGTCTAACTAATTTAGTAAAAAATGTGTCTTCCTTCACCTCTGATGGTGCGTTTGGAGTGCTTGTGGAGTAAAACTTTTGATTACATCAACTCATATCAAGGCTGCCACGTGTTAAACAACGTAAATATTCTACAAAAGATAAAATCATTGACTCCCAATTTGTTTCAGGAGGTTCGCTGTGGTTTATTAAATACCCCAAGACTTCCTCCAACCAACAGATAATGCAGTGCCATTTGGCTGCTATCGCTGTGATGAACAGTCATAACAATCAGAAGAAAGGGGGGCGGAGCAGCCTTGAAGTTATCTGACTTTGCAGAGAGAGAGGCAACAGAAAAGGGAAGTGAAAGGCTCGTACAGTTGGTCCACAGTTGTAGAGCCAATAATAACAACAACCACAGTAGTAATCATTATAAGTAGTACTTAGCTTTAACTGGTGCATTTTGGAACATTTGCAACTTAATTCTTATAATAATTTTGGTGTAACTGTCAAAAAACGATCAAAAGCTACTGGTCATTTAATTCAATTAATGACAATTTACTTGTTTAATTAATTGGTTTAGTCGCTCAGATTAAGCTGTTATTCAGTAATATTAAAAAAGATTTATTTCCACCACACCTTTGATAAGGTTTAACTGATGATTACTTGATCACAGTTGCTTTAACAAAGAGTTATGAAAACATATTGATAATTGCAAAGGAAGATGATACTTTGATTTTGTATTTGTTGGCCTTATCGACCTTTTATAAAAGTATCATACCAGTTATTTGGAGATCAAACATGAGACTGACGTAAACACCACAAACACACTGTTTATCGTTGTTAAATATTTACCACCGTTTTCTTTTGTCTGCCAACTTGTAATTCAGTGGATGTGGATTTCCTGATTAGGTCTCTTTTGAATACTGGGATTCAATATCTCAAAACTTACATACAAAACCACAAAAATAGATGATATCTCACATTTTCATGCTTTTGGCCAACATATTTCCCGACAGTCCACTTGTAGGCTATAAATTACCAAATGTCTTAATACATTAGTTTGACTTGTTGAGTAGGAATGTTGAAGCCTTTACTTGATATATCCTGTTTCATAGCTTGAGCTGTGTAATCTGAGGTCTTTTCTAACAGCCAAGACGTAAAAAACAGAAAATCCACTTTTCCTGTTCGAGCAGAAATAATAGCCTGAAAAGACCTCATCTGAACTATGCTGAGCGTGGCAAAAAACACATGCAGTGAGTTGGAAAGTTTGCACTACATTAAGTTTAAAGCTGCTAAACTAAACTCTGTCACTTCAAGCTTGTATTGTTTACCATTATTTTCCAGATAAACTGATTGTTTCATTTAAAACTCAAGGCTGCACATGGGAGAAATAGTGGTAATTATGTGATTATGATGCATGTGTAACTCAAGACACATTCAAGAAGACCAAGTGTTTGTTTGGTGTTTGGGTTGCTTGCGATATTTCCCAGAGTGGGATTCATAAAAAAACAAACTACTGACCTATATTTAACAATAGGTGTATAATATACTGACTGAAAACGTCTTTCACTGTACTGTGATATCTAGGAGACAATTTAATAATAGGTCTTTTGCACATGCAAGTAATATAGAGCACTCCCCCACCATTATAAATACAACTACATAGAGGTAAAGTAGAACTATGCAGTGCTGCTTACCACGTTGTCTCCGGTCTTCCCAGAGAGGATGGCCCTGGCCTTGACCTTGGTGAGGGGGAAGTTTTTCAGATAGGCCTCGTATAGATGCCGGGCCAGAGCCCTCAGATCTGCTGCCTCCGGGTGCATGTGCACCACGTCCGATGAGAACTCAGCCAGCAGTTTCTCCTTCTCCGCCTGGGGCATTCGGCCAAATCGAATGGCTGGGAAAGAAAACAAGACAGACACAAACTCACATTGGCGCACAAATAAGACACAGGTTGGCACACGGGCAGATAGAGTATGTGAGAGAAACGGTACGCAGGAATAATCATAGAGATAAACACACATTTATACGTGTACATGACATGAACACGTCGTGTTTACAATTCGAGGTAAACAACAAACCCTCAGTGTAACTTCCTCCTGTCAAGTTATCCAAAACAAAGTGACGACTGACATCACTGTACATTTTACATTCAAGTCACAATCCCGCCATGCTCCAAAAAGTCCCATTTTATCAAACCGCTGACAAAATGTACCATCTCAAAGCCATTTTATACGACCAGAATGAAACTCCTGCAACACAAGATTGTTTATGCTAACGATATGTAGAAATTAATGCATATATACATAAATGATTTTCACGATAAGAAATAAAACAACCCTAGTATTGTTTCTTTGTTTGTATTGTGACCTCTTGCTGCCAAATAATTATATTGCAGATATTACAAATGAAGTTGAGTCAGGAAGACTCTCTTTACATTCATAGTCTCTCTCTCCCTGTGATTACTCTTATCAGCTGATTGTGGGCGTTCACTTTAAATTCAACCAACCAGGTTCCGCACCTGGAACCGTTCATCATCGGATTGGAGCGACTCCCTTCACCACCACCAGTGTCTGGACATCACTACCCCTCCATTATCCTACTTCAGGATGGAGTCCAATCGCCAAAGACTTCGCACTATTCAATTTTTATGCATGTGTAATAAATTATTGTTAAATTCTAATAAAGTTTCTCCTGGTTGAAATTATATTACTTTACTTTATATAGTTTATTACTAATCTGACGTTGGGGAGTGAGCTTCGGTTGACTTCTGCCATGGTTGTTTAATTTCTATCATATCTCTAACATTTGGACAGTTATCAATGAAGCAGATCGACCAGCTAATGTCCACAAAATGAGCTGCTATCTACAGCAAACACTTTATTACTAAATACAGAAGCAAAACAAAAGAAATGAAAGATTTTAGGAGACATGCAAATCACTGCTCAGACAACTTCTACAAGCGAGTCAGAGCTGAAGGAACAGGAAAATCAACACACAGCAAATTTCTCTCCTGTAATTTTATGAGGCGTGTCTCATCAAGCACTTACAAAATGTACTTCTCTTTAATAATACCTTTATGGTTTTTTAGTTGGTAATGGTGTTTTCACAGCTCATTGCCAAACCTGAAAAACGGTCTCATGCATTGACACAAGTCTCTTTTCTCCTCACTTCTCCACTTGTTGCTGCAGTTTATTTTACATTGTGCAATTACAAATACCCAACAAAGAAGACGGGCCTAGTTTCCCGTTTTAAAAGGATGGGGTTTATGTCATTTAGAATCTATTTTATGCTTTTAATGTCATATTTCTCATATGCTTGATACATTTACACATTTTTTAACATTTCAGAAGAATCTCAGGTGATGGTTTGCCAGATGCCCTGATGCTGTTTTGAATTTAACTGTATTCATAACTTCACATTGTATTACAGAAATGTCACCTTTTACTTGATGGTTTTACTTTTTCTATTTAGCGTCCATATGGATTGTACAAATCCAAATCCAAAATGGTTATATGTCTTTTGATGAAAAACAATAACTATTAAAACAGATTTTCCATTATATTCCAGTATAAATCATTATATCACTATAGAATAAGTTACATTACACTTAACAAAGGTACTCTAGATTTTATGGTGAATGTGGTGAAAATAATCCTTATAATAATCTAACAGCTAAGTTGGTTGGACCCTCTTTTTTTATGTTGGTGAAAGCCAATAACTGTCATCCATTCAGGGCTCTGCACAGCATTTACTGAGCATTGAGTGCTGAGTGTATAGCAGTGTATGTGGTTGTGTAATGCTGACTGTGATGAAAGCACACCTTAAGCAAATGAATACCATCTAAAGCTGCCCTCCCACCAACTGGCAATGAGCCTGCAGCAGTGACACAGCAGTTTGGAGAAATCAGTTGTGGTTTATGTACTCTGAGATGTCAATCATTGATGAATTAAAAACCCAGACAGAGCAATTTTTCAATAAGAACAAACTGTAGCTCATGAAATAAGGGAAGGAGGAGGACAGGGAGATAAAGAGAGGTGAAACAAACTAATATGGCTTTGTATAAACTAATTATAGTAGATGCTAGTTTCATTCTGTAAATACAAAGCCGTTTTGTTACTGAGCTTCAATACTTGACTGACTCCATTAAAAAAAAAAAAAAAACATATATATTTTTTTGTCAAACAAAGTGTATATATACATATATATATATACATATGTAAATATATATATATATGTTTTTTTACAAACTAGAAACATATCTTTATTTAAAAACTAGAAAAGGCGTCAAAGAAAATAAAATGTACGCTCACTTTAGGTGAAAGACTTAAAGTCCCTCAACCGATTTAAATTGCAATGCCAGGCAAGCGTCTTGGTTAAGGCCAGAAGTTATAGTATCTATAATCAACCAACATGCATTCTAACCTGAATGGACGTCTATAACTGGACAGACATTGCGCGGATGAAGCCCCATTTTTTCCGTGCCCTCAAAAATTCCCACAATGGAACACAAAAAAGTAGTGTCCATGGCATGTACACGACTTCCTGCAGGATCAGGTCAGTTTTATTTATTAGTGTGAGAGAGAGAGAGAGAGAGAGAGATATGGAATGCTCTTTTATGAAAATGACAATTTTGACAAAAGACAATGACGTGTGAAACTATGCTGAGAATATCCACGGGTCGCTAAAGTTCATTTGTCAAAGAGTGAATGCTGTAAGTTGTCCCACCCTAAGAGGTGCAACAAAACTAACAGGAGACACAGGGAGATGTCAATCAAGCGCAACCTGTGCTCGCCCACACAGTGGTGCAGGTCCATGCTGAAACTCACCTGGGAGGGTGGAGTCAGCATTTATATAAAAAACAGACTACAGCTGTGCCAGTTGTGACCAACGAAGGCTAACAAAACAAACTTTCTACAGCTAAACAGTCACGGGTGAGGGCAAGGAAGATTGTATTATTAAGTACACGAGTTCTCCAGATATCACACTCGTGAGCTTATGACGTGCGGCCGTCTGGTAGCTTCTACCAAAAAATGTATCGTAAATATCAAGTAAGTTTCTTGTCTATAAATGTAAACTAACAAAAACCTCTAACGAGACGCACCTTGTGAATCTAACCGGCTACAAGCAGCAGCAGAAGCAGCAGCAGTAAACTGCATTTGCATTGACAGCCTAATTGATCGGCCCACGGGCCGCTGAGCGTGGGAGGTGTCAGTCGCTTCTTGCGACCTTGCAGGATTTGGTGCATCTCTACCCTGATCTTGCGTGTGTAGGTGAAAACATATGTGGGCGTACCGCGGCTGAGCAAGGCGTGTACATGTGGATTTGCTGATTTCATTTGATTTAATGTGATTGTGTTGTAATCTAATGTTGTATTAACAGTGTGGGTGTGTGTGTGTGTGTGCACACTGGGTGTCGTGTAGCAATTGCTTGTATATTGTAAGCTGACAATGTATCATAATGATGTTCTGTATTATTTCTTTACTGTGTGCTTATAAAGCATTATATGCAAGTTTATCTTCTAAATAAAAATGTTCAAGCACATCATACATCCTGCGATTGTACACTCATCGTTCTAAAAGGTGTGTGAGACAGTATCGCCAATCTTACCGTTGTGTGACATGCCGACATTGAGGCACTTCTGGAAGCGACAGTACTGACATTTGTTGCGGGACTTCTTGTGAATGCGACAGTGAAGATCACAGTGATCATACACCAACTTTAACCGGATTGTGCGTCTGAAGAAACCCTAGGAGAGAGAAACAGAGACAGTAAGGTCAGATGAGGCTAAAATATCCCCCTTTTTTACATTTTGTACATTACTAAATCTGCTCCTTTTTTGAATAATTAAGACAGTTACTCATTTACTTATTTAAATGTAACTATTTTCTTTGAGAAAAGGAAAAGGACTGAGAGACTATTCGTGTTGCCAAATAAGACAATATAAGTATGATAGGCCATTTCGTAAAGAAACAAATATGTTCCTAGTATTGTATGTGCCGTATAAAACAGAAAAAAACTTAAATCAGTATTCTAGTTGAGATGTGAAAGGGGAAGGTCGAACAATTAATTGTGATTTGAAGAGATCCACTTTACTTCATAATTCATCGTCTGATTAAAGTTTGTTGTTGGTGGAGTAGATCCACAGAGCATCTATTCACTGATGCAGATTAGATACCTGGTTCTTTCTAATCGGAGGAAGTCAATTATACTGCCCACGACTGTGCTTAAAAGCAGATTGCGTTTCAGGGTGGATTTATGCTTTGATGTTTTCAATCTTAGGACCAAAGGAGCAACAAGAGGTTTGCTTATCTCAGCTAGTAAGTACGGAGCCACGGTCAAACTGCCAACACACACTCCTACATGCAGCCACAGGTTTGTTGATGGCTGTGGTGTTTGTCTAAGCTGACGAAGAAAGCTAACGGAAAGATGAATTGAAAAGACACAAAAAGAAAAACCTGAAGGCTGCAAGTGTTACGAGGAGAATTGTATTGACTGGTTTTGTAAGCATACAAATCCACATGTGGACTTGTACTACGTGAAGGCTGGTGCGTTTGGCATCTGCATTCTTTCACCCACAGATGTTCCTTTTTTTAATCGTAGGTTATTTAAAGAATCAGGAAGTTAAAGGGGGTCAAGGCTCCACCTCAATAAAGAATGTTTTCTGCTTGGAAACAATTAGGTGTTTGCCTGCTTGGCTGACCCCCTCTTCTGGTGAGTCTCCCCTGAGACTTGAGCAGAACAATGACTGCTCTGCCTTACCATCACTCAGCCTCTGAAGGTACAGTGTGATATACGTATATATATATCTATATATATATATATAGATATATATATATATATGTAGAAGATTTCACAGGTCTATAATTATTCCAGATAAATTGGTATGAAAAACTACTTAAAATGTGCTGTGTATCTATCACCCTTATATATACATATATATATATTGTTGATATATATATATACACAATAATCAACACGAAACTGTGGGTTTCTTTGGCTGGCACGTATTGTATTTATGTCAGCTGGTTGGTTGGTGCTTGTGAGATAAGAGTTCAAATAAACCACAATATTACAAGCTACAGGAGACTCGCTGCACTTTCTAACCCTTAGTTGTCCATCGCTTGTTTCTAGGCAGATTACATACTTTTACAGGACTAATATTACCATTACCAATATGACACAATATTACCATGTTCATGGTAATAAAGAAACATGCCCGAGGTGTAACCGTGTGGCTCACTGATGTGTTTTTAACATTTTTTGGAGGAATAAGAAATACCAAGCTAGCTACATAGGCAGTACTTGTTAGTAAGATCAAAACATTGTTGATTTTGGTCTTTTCATGGTATTTGTTGATGATGAGGAAAAATAAAGAGAATATCACCTTTAACAAATGTAGTCTATTGTATTGCATTGAGTTACATCATACAGGTGGTTTCTATTTTCATGGTCATTCAGTGGATGTCAAGGTTTCTTTTTTCTTTGGCAGTATCACAGCGAAGGTTTCTATTCCTGTAATGTCGACTATATTGAAGACATAAGCCTATGTTTTATCTGTGTTTTCAAAAGGTCGATTACTCTTTAATATAAAGTCATCTAATAGGACAAAATATATCATATTCTATTAAAAGTCTTCGGGTTAGGGTGAGCTTTTCTTACACTTCAGAAAGGGCGATAGACACACAGCACATTTTAAGTATTTTTTTTATTCCAATTTCTCTGGAATCATTTCAGACCTGTGAAATCTTCTTGGAACCAAACAGAAAAAAAACAAAAAAAGTACTGCGGCTGTTACTGAAAATCCTGCATTTGAAGTACAATGTCATAATTTAAAGCTCCTCTTCTTATAATGTCTCAGTGTTTCAAAGAAAACGAAAATATGTGTGAAACTCCCCCTCACTCTATTAGTTATTTATACTCTATACTGACTGAAAAACAGACAGAGTTTAAGGGGCTGGGTGCGAGTCTGTTGAATCACAGGTCTTTGTTGAGCCCTGGCTGAGTGGAAAAGGTATGGGGCTTGTGGTTAAAGTGACAGACATCAAAAAGATGAAAAAATGCATTGTAGAATTATTGATTCCACAAACATGTTTCACCTGCGAGTGACACATGGTGACAGAAAAAGAGAGACTAGCAGAGAAACAAAACTCGACAATTCGCAGTAAAAGTTAGCATTACCATTTCCTGACATGACTCTCGGGTGGTATGACTGTCGGGTTTTTTTCTCGACTTTTTGAGAGCAGCAATCATTTTATACTGCAATTTAATAATATGCATCTCTCAAAGTAATTGGTGGCCAGAATTTCTAAAAATTCCTCTTGAGCAGAGCCTCTTGCCAACAAAGACAGAGTTACCCCTAAAATATCATAAACTTTCAAGCTTGAGATGTCTGAAGCCCCACAAAGCAGATGTTGTGCAATGTAGAGATGAAATCAACATCTAATTAATCTGCAACTATTTTGATAACTGACTGAATCATAATTAAAGTATTTTTTTTCAAGTGAAAATTGAAGACATAAGTTAGTTCCATTATTATTATTGAGAGGATTTGCTGCTTTTTCATCTTTTGGGATGACAAATTGCACATCTTTGGGTTTTGAAATGTTGGTTTCATTAATCTGCAGATTATTTAATGATATAATCTAAAATTTTAAACACTGGTTATACTTCCCTAGTTTGTCTATACATCTTATTTTCAGCTTTACTCATGATGATCTTTCAGTCCTACCTTACAGCCCTCACAGGCATGGACGCCATAGTGAAACCCTGAAGCTTTGTCTCCGCACACACGGCACTCGATGTTTAGCGCTGCTGGCGACGCATCGTCCTGGAGCTTGGAGAACACGGTATTGTCAGAGTACTGTGGAGGCGACTCCGGCTCCAGCTTGATCAAATCTGACAGCAAAAACATCATCAGGCAGGAACAGTAGCACACCAAATAGGCAGACAGATAGAAAACTAAAGCTTTCCTACTTCACCTCTTTTATCCAGAGGTTTAATACTCAGTTGTTTTTTTTATCTGGGTTTTGTCCTATGTTCATCCTGTAACTCTAACAGGCTATAATCACTATTCTCATGTTTTAAGCACAAGTGCAAATCAATATCTTGACCGACTCTCTTCTAAATGTGGCACCTTTGATGCATTTTCACACTAAAGCTTTCTTAAGCCAGGACTTGAGCAAATGATTGAAATTAATTTCTACTTCCTGTGGTTGAATTTTGCTGCCAAGCTGAAATCAGCATTAAAAAACTAAACAGGCTTTAGAGCTGGTTTTCCCATTACATAGACCGGACTTACTGTGCATGTCTGGCTCCGTTCTGTAGCTGTGCATGTTTGTGTAGTCCATGTTGGTCAGTTGTTCTTCGTTCTGCGGCGGACTGGGGTCATAGGCCATACCGGCAGAGGACATGGAGGATACAAGCGGGGGAGACAGGGAGGACGGGATGGAGGAGGAGGAGATGGAGGCGTAGTCCAACGTGGACAAATGCTTCATGTCGAGGGAGTGGGAGCTGTCGTCCAGCTCCGACAGCTCCACGGCGTTCAGACTGAACCCGACAGGCCAGGCTAGGAGCTGCTGGGTGTCCACCATGTCTACTGGGGAGAGAGATGAAGCAGTGACACAACAGCTGACGCAACATCCTTTGTTGACTTTACGTGGCCTTGTTGAAAGAAAACACCAGAAGAACCGGAGAGAGGAGAGGAAGAGGAAAAGTCGGAGAGAGAGAGAGAGGATGAGATAAAACATAAACAGAAAACAGTGGAAAGAAAGATGACAATGAAAATATACATGCTGTGTTGCGCATAGTGTTAATGATTAAATACGTCCTTTCAGAAAAGCCCAAACATAACAACGCATAGACACACACACACACACTCCATGAGTACCCCCGGCCCTCCAGCTCGTCCCTGCAGTCTGTCTGTTATCTGGTAAACAGGGAGGCAGATTGTGTCACAGTGAGAACAAGACGAACTCTGGCACTGAGGAGCGTCTCTTCGGCTCAAAACACTGTCTTCCTCTGTTGCTGTTTGGGTGGCTCGCTGTGTGATTGCCCAACCAAAGGACACGGAGAGCAGGACTGTTTGAGCCTCCGTCTGTCTGGGACCAAGAATGTGGCACGGACTGCACCTTCTGAGTGTGGAGTAAGTAAGAACTGTGGTGGCAAGGATAATGCTCCAACATCAGAGCTTGTTTCAACTTCCAGGACTTTTTTATCTTGTTTGTAAATCGTTAAAAACAGATCACAAATTTATAGTTTGTCTTGAAAAAGGCAAAAATTATTATTATATATATATATATATATATATATATATATATATTAGTGCTGGGCAAGTTAACGCGTTATTATCACGTTAACGCATTATTCATTAATTAACGCGACAATTGTTTTATCGCGCGTTAACGCATTTTTAAAATTTATTATAATTTTTTTAAATATTTTTTTTTTTTATTGAAAGACAAGAGACAATACATATACATAACAACAAGAGGATGACAAGAACAGTGGGATAAAAGCCAGCAAACATCCTATAGTCAGTTGTGTACGTGTGTGTGTGTGTGTGAACGTGTGCGTGTGTGTATGTCCTTGAGCCTTTTGAGATGGGAAAAAAATAAATAATAATAATAATTAAAAAACAACAACAAAAAAACAAAAAAAACAGGTAAGTATTTTTAATTTATTATTATTGTAACAGACTGTCTCATGTTTATCGTTCTGTATTGGAGATATGATGTCCCTTCAGGGTTGCCGTAGAGAAAAGGCGACTTCCGCTTCTGGTCGGGGGGCAGAAATAAAGAGAGAAACTGCACCAGCTGTTGCTCTCCCTGGAGACTACTGGACATCGCTGCGGTAAAGTCAGCAGACACTCAGATCTCCGTGGTCAACTCAGCAGACACTTACATTTTAGTGCACCTATATGCTGAAATTCACAGTAAACGCATTTAAACGACACAGATCGGGAGCGAGCGAAGGACTTTGAAAGTTAGCGGAAAGATTAACGTGAGACAACATCCGGTTTCTTCAGACGAACATCCGGTTTTCAGAATAAGATGCCAACAAAGTATGAATTATATTCACATTAAGTACAAAACATGCTACCTGCATCTCGTGAACCAAATGTTATTGACCTTTTGTTCATAGCAGTACTTTTAAAATAAAAGTGCGCAATACACTACTTTTTACTTTTGAATTCATTATTGAACTTTGCCATAACAATGCGATTAATCGCGATTAATCGCAAAAAATACATGCGATTAATCGCAATTAAATATTTGAATCGTTGCCCAGCACTAATTTAAATATATAATAATGTTGATTGTTTTAAGCTGTGGATTTGGTGCATTAGCAGGTATGAACAGCGGCAGGTTGGTGTATGTGTGAGTGACTCTCAATAAATAAAGTGCCCAACGTGTCAGCTGTAGCCAGTGTACGGGATTCAAGGATTATTTTTGACAATAAGAAGAATAGAGTATATTATGTATACCAGCAGTATACTTAAATAAACTCTGCTACTTATGAAATATGAATAAATTGACCTGTACAATGTATAAAAACAAACGCTTAATCAACACTCAAATACAAACACAAATGTTTGTTGATACAAATTAACGACGGCTCTTCAGTCATTCTAATACAGTATCTACCTCAGAGGGTCAAAGCCATGATATTCAAAGTCCAGACCACAGTCCACGCGTAAGCAGACCACATACACGGCTTTATAGTCACGTTTGTAGAGGCTTGTTTGGTGAAGCGTACCTTTGTAGAATATCTTGTTTATGTGATGTATGTAATCATTAAAGTGGCTGTTCTAAACTACAGGCATCACAGCTATAAGTAATTGTTTGAATTGGTCTTCTATGACAAGAAAAAACGTAAAATATATTTATAAGATACGCAGGCCAGACACAAAATATACTATTGTTAGTGGTAGCACTATTCCAGAGTGAAACGAAATATTTGAGATCTGAGCAGTTAAAAGAGGGGTTTAAATTAAATCCATTGCATTTGACTGGATCACTAAATCTGAATATCAATACTGTAAACTATTACATGTTCCCGGGCTTTCCTTTCTTCTTTTCTTTGAGAAGGAGGAAGCCATGCTTGAATTCTGACCTTGATATAAACTAAAGAAACTCTGAAAAGGAAAAGACAAACTAGCAACAGTATATAAATAATCAGTAGAGTAAAGGGTCTGTGCACTAAAACACCTGGCCTGCCAAACAACCTTTTGTAAGTTTTAAAATAAACCTCCTCTAATCAACCTTGAGCCTCTGATTTAGGAAAAAAGAAGGTAACAAAGAATGCGATGTATTATGCAACAGTGCAACACTAAAATAGCAATACTCGGATGGCACAGCAGCACCAGGTATAGAAATGGCTTGAATTACTTGGCAAAACATCCCCGTGCAGCAAACATCCTCTTCTCTCAATCACTTATTGTTTCCTTTTTACTTGTTTGGACTGTGGCAGCAAAAATCAGCAGGTGATCCACTTAAAATTCACATGGACTGTGACATTGTTTCAGAGCGAGAGAAGGAAAGAAAGTGTGTGTGTGTGTGTGTGTGTCCGCAGGCTGTAGCTCCACTGTCTTTGGAAGCTGCTGCGGGGGGAAATGCTGACTATTAATAACCAGAGAAACCTGGATATTTGGCCAGATAATTGTTGGCCAGTTGCCAGCCAATCCAAACCTAAAATAGATGGAGCATTGGAGTGACTTGTGTCCTGGTTGGCATCAAGTTAGCATATGGATACAGGAATAGTTGGAGAAACAGTGAGAGAGATGAGAGTGAGAGAGATAAAGTGAAAGGGGGTGGACAGAGAGCGAGTCCTCAGACCACTTCAAGAAGTCAAACGGCACCCGAGAGGCTTCAAGAAAAGCCCCTTCTGTTAGGAAATGCATGCTCTGTACTCAACATGACGAACACAACCGAGAAAGTAAAAAAGGAAGGCGAATGCAGCCAAGCAGTTAAGGTGCATAAATCATGTCGTTACTGAAGGTAAAAACAAGTTTGTACTCCAGTGTTCGTGGAAACACTGCACGAGAAAATCCACTGCATTCAACATGTTGGTATCTGTGGGTGCTGTGTGGGCAACCAAACATCATGTCAGACATTATAAAGGGTGACAGATGATTAGTATGATTTAGGGGGTGTATATTCTGTTTGCAAAGCTGTGTGTGTGTGTGTGAGCACGTGCGTGACAATCATGGCGGTGTTTCCTGCCAGTTCTCTGATTTCCACATGTCAGAACCTGTCCTCCAGGTACGAGTACAGCGTGTAGGAGTGCTTATTATCAGCTATTGCCTCAGACATGACATAATAACAAAAGGCCAACGGCAAACTGGCAAGCTACTGTACTGATGAGGCGGATTGGAACTGTGTGTGTGTGAGCCAACACGTACAGCGTCAACTTTCTAAGGGTATTTAACGACATTGATTAAGGCGGAGTGAATGAACAAAAGCAAAGGCCTGACCCACAACAGCTGGATCCTTAAACAACATTATAACGCCGTAATGTCAACTTCAGGAGAGGGAATGATGCAGTTCTCTCAGTCTGAAAGCTGAAGTTCAGGAAAAAGAAAGAAAGAGATGAAACCTGGAGGTCAAACGGAGAGATGTGAAATCTCTCCTTCAGGGACAAAGTTGCAAAACGAATGAAATGTTTTTTAACTTTCAAATTTCTTCACAACAGCAACGGGTCGGTCCAAAACAGACTGGAGCACAAGCTGGGGTTCAGATTACTGCACAGACGGTGTCGAAAGTCCTTTTTGTACCTTTGATAATGGACTGTTATGGAATTTAATGAATTAGCTTTTTTTTAAATTATTGATAAAATACAAAAAGCCCAAAGAAAGAAAACTAGAGTTTAACAAAAACAACAAAAAGACTAAAGAAATTTAAAAAAAAAAGCCCTGCAGACAGAAAATATCCAGCATCATAATAATATCCTCCTCCTACACAGTAAGTCACTCAACAGTCAAACAAAGAAAATGCACCAGGTGAGGAGTTTAGGACACAGGAGAAGTTAGCACAGAAGCCGGTCTGGTCATAAAACAAAAGGCAAAAAACCTGCCCAGCTGCATTCAGAGGCATTAACACGCTTATCTTCTGTGTTTGAATAAAAGCCGAGCTCCCTCTCTTTGGGTGAGAACTACACCACTGATGTCACAGCAGACCACTGTTGGGAAACGTACTTAGTTAGAAGTTATTTGGGTCGCTATACGTGAGAACTCTAAAGTTGGATACAATATATACAAATGAATACATGTTTATGATGGTGTTTGCATACTATGGCTTTTTCATACATCATAAAGTGAAGTACATTGGAAGCGAATTTAACTATGTGCATCCAAAAGGACATGTTGCACGAGTATTTCCCTTTTTTGATTTCTTTCCCTGCACATGAAGCCATTCGTGTCATCACATTTGTCCTGTGTGTGTGTGTGTGTGTGTGTATGTGTGTGACACACAGAGACAGGGAGCTAGTGCACAGAGCTCTGTGACTTCCTGACCTCTTCATGTAAAACAGCATGTGGTTCAGTGTCAGTGACTAAAACGAAGCTACGCCTGCCTGCACGTCTGCCTCGCAGTTTCTCTGAAAGGACAAAGTGGGCTTGATATTTGCCTAATTTGTCCTGCATAAGCAAACTGTGGGGATACAGTGCAATGACCACGTGTTGTGATAATGCTGTGCTTTATTTGTCAGTAACTGATTTCACCAAATACAGCAGCAGCTTGGTGTGCATACTGGGTATAAAAAGCTGCCTGCCTGCACTCTTCAGGAAATTGACTTTTTTTTTTCTTCTTTTTTTGCTCTGGTGCTGTGAAGTCACTATGGGCAGATTTACGTGCCAGGGCCTTCCCCTTTTGCATCTATATGATCAAACAGGAAAGTAACGGAAAAGCAAGTGCACACAAAGTGTCAACCAGAGGTCTGGACTGCCCTCTCGACCAAAGCGAGAGTCTCCTCGCGTCTGAAAAACCCACTTGCACGGTCGGAACTGAATTCACTGCATGAGACTTCAAAGCTTGGCACAGTTACAGGTGGGAAAGCATAATCTCTGTCTGCTTGACACAGATCTGAGTGAAACAGCACCCACACTCTGACTGCTATTTGACTTTTTTTGTCAAATTCTTTTGTGTTTCAACTTCCAAAGCTAGGAAAGTGTAGCACTGATACGAATCATGTCAACCCGAGGTCAGTTTGAAGGGGAGGCAACACTTCTTACAAAATGGGCACAAACTGAAGAAGCTTTTCTGCCTTTTAAAAAGCATAGCT